TTTGCTGAAGATCATCCAGAAATGATGGCAGCAGTGCACTGACAGTGAATTGTCAGAGGTTCAGGCTTGATCCAGAAGAGGACATGGAAGAAGGGATATCATTACGAGTGTCAGATGGATCTTGACTGCAAGCAGGCAATACCAGATAGATGTTTACTTGTGTTTTATTGTCTGTGCCAAAGCACCTGACTATGTGGAGCATAACAAAATGTGGACAACCAGGGGGAGAATGGGAATTCCAGAACATTTCATTGTGCTCATTCAAAGCTGGTACATGAATTAACAGGCAATTTTGTGAACAGAACAAAGGAATACTGCCTGGTTTAGAATCAGGAAAGGGGTGCATCAGTGTGTTAGACCAAGTTGACTAGAGAAAAAAATCCAGTGACCTTCATATATGTGTAATAAATAGCTTTAGGAAAGCATTCCAGCCCAGTCCAACTCAAGTTCATAAGTCTGATACTAGTCCATCAGTCCCTCTTCAGACTCACAGCCACATGCAATGATGCAGAGTGCAGGAAGATCACAGGGCAGTGTGTGCAAAGTTATGTGGATCCCAAATCAGTGGGAAATTTGTTAGGGCACCAGCAGGTCTCAGGGTGCTCAGCAAGCCAGAAGGTGAAGAGAGAGTGAGAGCGAGAGTGAGAGCGAGAGCGAGAGCGAGAGCGAGAGCGAGAGCGAGAGAGAGAGAGAGAGAGAGAGAGAGAGATAATTCCATCTCCAGATCTCGATATATCTTAAGAAGTTATCAGGCTGCAACCTAATTGACTGGATAAACACCCATATCTTCTTACAGGTGCCACTTGGCACAAAAATGCTAGCTATTGTAATTTGCATTGTATTCTTTCACCATACTTGTTAAATCTGTATACTGATAAAAAAAAATTAGAGAAGCTGGATTATATGAAGACGAATGTGGCATCAGGATTGGAGGAAGGCTTATTAACCTGCAATATGCACATGATGTAGCAACTTTACAATGAGGAGTAATTGAAGCATTTCCTGATAAAGATCAAGGGTTTCATCCTTAAGTGTGGATTATGACTCTATGTAAAGAAGATCAAAACCCTTACAAGTGTACCAGTAGGTAACATCATGATAAATGGAAAAAAGGTTCAAGTTGTCAAAGATTTTTCTAATTTGACTCCAAAATCAATGCACCTGGAAGCAGCAGTCAAGATATCAAAAGGCATATTGAATTAGGCAAATCTGCTGCATTCGAGCTCTTTAGAACCTTTAAAGAAGGGATATTTCTTTGAGCACTAAGGTGTGCCTGACCCCAAAACATGGTAATTTTCATTGCATCACAAGCATGTAAAAGTTGGACATCGAATAAGGAAGACCTTAGAAGCATACATGCATTCGAATTGTGATGCTGGAGAAGAACATGGGAAGGACCGTGGGTTGCTAAGAGGACCCGTAAATTTGTCTTGGGAGAAGTATTGCCAGAGTGTTCCTTTAAGGCCAGGATGACACGACTTCTTCTTACTTGCTTGGGACATATAGTCAGGAAAGACTGGTGCCTGGAGAAGGACATCATAGTTGACACAGTGGCTACATCAATGGGCTCAAGCATAGGAACATTTTTGAGGAGGGTGAAGGACAGTGTGTTGTTTCTTTTTGTTCTGAAGCAGTGGTTCTATTTCTTTTGCCCTTTCCAGAGAATTAGATGTTCTTTAATTTGCACCAAGTTAAGGTGGCATCTTTGGCGTGTTTGCGTGACTCCAACTGTGTGACTCAAATTTGTAATGTTCTTGAGTTCTGAGAATAAAAATGAACTCTAAAGGGGCAAGATCGGGGCTGTAGGGTGTGTATGTAATATTTCTGAACAGTGGATATAATTTCCACAGGACAGTGCTGGCTAACACCAAAAATGAGCAGGTGCATTGTCATGGAGAAAACAGATTCCTTGGTGCAACTTGCATGGCCTTTTTTTGCATCAATGCAATTTTCAATTTTCTTAAAGCAAATTTCTTGTCTTTTGAGATAATCTGGGAAGATTTTGCCTTTCCAAACCAAAAAGGCAGTCATCGTAAGCTTCTGAGATGACCTCTCGGCTTTAAATTTAACAGGTACAACAAATTCCCTTGTAAATCAGTGTTTGATTGGATCTTTTTATGAAGGAGACTTGTATTACTGAGATAACTTGTTTTCAGTCATCCACTGATTAAAATACGCCATTTAGGCATGTTTTATATGAAACTAGCCTATGCATGTCTGGGCTGGAACTACAGTTCCATTTTCCCCCCATACATAGAAAACAAAAGTAGAGGGTTAATTATTGATTATAGATAAGATCAGCTTCAACTCAAAGTTCTTTGAAATGTAAAAATCAACCACTTGGCTAGATTGGATTGAATTTACCACCTGGGTAAATTGTGCCAGCTGCTTCAGCCGCTCATGATTGCAAGCAGCGTGAACACACTTCCCCATCCAGGAATTACTAGGTATTTACATCTTGACACAGTCATCCCTCAAATAAACAAATTACATGTTGACCTTCTACTTCCTGGCCATGACACAAACCTGACACAAGTGACTTCTAGTTTTAAACTTTTCCATGTATACTCACTGTTTCCATTGAGTCAATTCTCATTCATATTGACGCTTCAGGGCCGAGTAGAACTGTTCATTGGGTTTCCAAGGCTGCACATCTTGACAGCGCAGCAAACCTGACCTTTCTCCCTTAGAGTGGCGATTTGGTCAGAACTGCTGACCTTGTGGTTGGCGGGCCATCGAATACCCCATTGTGTCACACGGGCACCTTACATGTCACCAGGGCACACAAGACAAGCACAACACAGGAGAAGGCCATTATTATAATGTGTCCTTAGTACATGGTGGCAGGATGTGATCGAGGCAGAGGTAGAAGTCAGAGAGATTTACTGAAGGGATTTAAGTCTGTACTAATATCTGAAGACTGGCCCAGCCATGGATACTACTAAGCCATCTGCCAATTGTTAAATAAGCAGAATCTGTCTCTTCAAAACTAATGAAATACAAGAGTTATTTAAAAAAAAAACATTTTATTGGGGTTTCATACAACTTTTTATCACAATCCAAACATACATCAATTGTGTCAAGCACATTTGTACATTCATCGCCCTCATCGTTCTCAAAACATTTGCTCTCCACTTAAGCCCCTGGCATCAGGTCCTCATTTTTTTCCCCTCCCTCCCCGATCCCTCTCCCTCATGAATCCTTGCTAATTTATAAATTATTATTTTGTCATATCTTGCCCTGTCCGACGTCTCCCTTCACCCACTTTTCTGTTGTCCGTCCCCCAGCGAGGTCACATGTACATCCTTAGACAGTTATTTTTAAGGTGTCTCTTTTCTTGACATTATCAGTTCTTATCATAAAGTGTGGTCACCTGATTGGGCTCTGTGTTTAAGCTATTTTGTGCAAAATCCAATCTATGACCTAGTTCTGAGTATTGGAGTACAGTAATGCATATTTTGATGAGGGGGTAGAGCATGGGAAAAGAAAACCTCTTGGCTAAAAGTTGTGGCTATTGACAATTGAGACATACAAGAAAACTACTCATTGGAATGAGAAATTTCTAGAATTATCTTCCCAGTTCTTCATAACATCAAAGTATATGTAGAGAGAACTGCAGAGAAGCCACCTACTGAGATGCACAGCACCTCTCTAAGCATTTGGCAAGATGAACATTTAACCCACTAGGCTTGAGCTTCCTGGACTGAATCTATTTGTCTCTTCCCCCATTATGATTGTGTAACATAGTTTCACAATAGCAAATCAGAGTAAGGCTATTGATGTTACTCATGATTACAATAAAAGCAGAATGGCTTAATTAGTAAAATTTAAGCAGTCCAATTCCTATAAGTAAAAATGTACATATTTAAGGAGGTTTATTATAACATTTATACTATTTATTTTATAATACACTAATTCGAATGTAAAAGTGAATGTAAATGACTAGAAATTAACATGCAATGTGAAGAAAAGTCCTTTTATTCTCTGGAACTGTAGCATTTGGCAGATTCAGGAATAAATAATCTTTTGTGGCAAGGGTATGCCTTATCAAACATATGCAGATCAGCACTAATTAATGCTAATTAGGGTTCCCTGTCTATCTAGTTGGAAAAACGTCCAAATGTTATGAAATCCAGTTAGTATGCCTATTACACTAATTGTTTTATATGGGGTGGTTCTTAATTAAAATATGTAAATTGACCTTAATTGCTATATACTAATGGGGGCTCATGTTATCTCACTAAAAGTGACAAGATGGTGAGGAGGGGTACTTAAATGACTAATTCTGATAAATCCTTAACTAAATGACCTTTACTCAAAATTAATTTTAATTGGAAGTTGGCAAAAGAAACATTTTCCTTCTTTGTTTCTTCTTAGTTTTAAGTATTGTAAGAATGTTACTCTTCTTTGTTAATGCAGCTTTAGAGGCAGTTGTGGATTGTTAATTATACTTAACAAGCAAGTTAATTTTGCTGTTTACTGTTTATAGTTATCAGGAAGTTATTGATATTCTCATTTCTGTCTTGGGAAAAGTGACAATACTATAGGTAATTTGATGCAGTTACTTTGGTAGAATATGTTAAATCTTGATGAGCTGGTAGTACTAATATCCAGTTGATTTACATGAGAATTAGTTTTTTAGGGAAAAATGTACAAGCATTAATTTATTAGAGTTAAAATTTGATTAGAAATACTTAGAATTAATAGAGTGAAATAATATTCTTGCATTTTTACCATCATGGTTTTATTTCTTACTTAATTCCAAGCAAATTAAAGTCTTTATGACCAGAACTAATGTAGATAAATTTAAATATTTTTATTTTTCCATTATGCCAAATCTAGAATTATAGAAAGTAATTGAATTAAAGTATATATTTAAAATTATTCTGTTGTAACGTGAGAAGGCATTTAGTAAAATATTGTCCTATAAATGGGTCTATAATAAAGATAGCAGTTTTTATATGTCAAATGGAAATCTAAGATCTTTATTCTTTCTTCAGGACATTGTGACAAATGTTTCCCCCAGAATCGTCCGGGGAACCACCTCTGGACCCATGTATGGCCCTGGACAGACCTCCTTTCTGAATATTGAACTCATCAGCGAGAAAACGGCTGCATATTGGTGTCAAAGTGTCACCGAGCTAAAGGCTGACTTTCCAGACAATGTAAGTGTGATTTAACGTCTAAAACAAGAGAACTGGCATAAGTTGGGGAATGTTTATTTAAACATCCAATTCATAGGCTTATAAATATTAATGTGTATAATATATTTTATTAAAGAAGCTGCCAGTTGCTTTGCTGATGCACAGAAAGATAAAGAAGAAAGAGAAGCTCAAGAGCTCATAAAAATCCCCACAATGCCAGGCTTTGTTATAAATGGGGACCGCGTCGATGGAAGAAGTATGTACATAGCAGAGGGAAGAGAAATGAAATACTCATTTTATTGAGTTGGGTTTCACTCTGTGTGGCTAGTGTTTATAAAGGTGATGCCCCTAGGAAGAAATTACAGGCTATAAATCATTTTAAATATAAACCTGAGGCAGAATATCTTTGGATAGAGTTTATATTTTTCAATAGAAAATCCTTTTAACACCTTTATTCAAAATGAGCCAACTATCATTTATATAGCTTAAAACAAACAAATTATGTATAAATGTTAGAACAAAATCAGACTTCTAGTTATTGTTAGATGTCATTGAATCTAGTTCAACTTCCAGTAACCCCAGTGAAAGAGGAAACTCCGTTTATTTGTGGGTTTTAATGTTTTGGGCACTTTTTAACCTAAAAGATAATATTTTAAAAATGTAATCGTCTAGTTAGGGTTATCATTATGTATTATTTCTCTTTTCTTTCTCTCTCTCTCTCTGTATTTCTGCCCCTATATCTATCTCCTTCTCTCCCTCCCGCTCCTTGCTCATGAGCACTTGGTAAATGCGGGTTTAGGTTTGAGTCAATTGTGTAATTATGTTGTTGGAAAATTTTTCTGCACTACTCTTCAAAAGCAAAAGGGAACACTTTTTTTTCCCTAATGGTTAATATTATCAGTCTCAGAATTTTACAAAGAAATTTAGATACCGCATTAATCCCACACCACAAAGACTTTCCTCCTTTCTCACTCACTACGAGCCACTGGCCTAGAGGACACAGCAGAAGCGCCTCGGTGGGTTTCCAAGAGCGCACATCTCTGCAGGAGCAGAAAGCTTCCCCGGGGCTGCTGGTGGTTTCAGACGACTGGACTTGTGGTTAGCAGCCCAATGTTAACCCAGTACACACAGGGTCCCTGGGTGGGGTAAGTAGTCAAAACACTTGACTGCTAATTAAAAGGCTATTTATTTGACTCCTCCTAGAAGATCCTCAAAACAAACAAACAAAAAACCCTAGTCTTCAATTTTTGTATAATCAGCCATTAAAAACCTTATGAAACCATTGTTCTTTCTGACACACCGGGTACCCTGTGTTGCGAGTCCTTTCAAGGGCAACAGGTTTGTTCCAAAATTCTGTCACCATGAAAAAATATACATATCACATAGAACCAATTAAAACATTTTCCTTCAGACGTGAAGCGAATTATCAAGAATCTATCGTGTTTAGTTTATTCGAATTTTTTTTACCTTCTAGACCTGATGCTACAATGATCTTTATTTTTTTTTTCACAGTGTGCATTTAATTCTATATAACAATTATGGCTAGATATTTGTTTCTCAAAATCCCAAATCTTTGGGGGAAGTGTGTCTAAGAATGACATGAAAAAAATAATGATCAGCCATAAAATATGAATTTATCTAAGTTTTGGTCTATAATATTAATAAATATAATTATATAATACTCTGTGACAGACACTGTTATTAATGATTTATATACATTTAATCACATGTAATCTTTTTGACAACCTTATAAAATTCATATTATTTTTCCTTTTTCATAAATGAGTAAACTGACAGACACAGATTAAGTAACTTGTCTAGATTACACAGCTAATATATGGTAAAATCAGAATTAGAACTTGAAATATCCTTTTAGCCCATATACTATTGTCTAAAGATAATATTCTCTAGTATTCCTGCCTATGTTGTGGTACCATTTCAGACTTTTAAAAATTCAGTATAACTTAAAAATATTATTGTGAATTAGATGGGGTTTAAATATCAGATCCTCATTTTTACATTCCATAAAATAAGCAACTCATCAAACCTCCAATTGTTGTTGTAAGATGCCATCAATTCGATTACTGCGCACAGAAGTAAACACTGCCCGGTCCTCCACTATCCTCCTTATTTTCTTGGGTCCAGTCCCATTGTTGCAGCCACTGTGTCAATCCATCTTGTCTAGGGTCTTTTTCTTTGTTTGCTGTTCCTCTTCTTTATCAAGCATGATGTCCTACTCCGGGGCCTGTTCTCTCCTGACAACATATCCAAGGTACACGAGACAAAGTCTCCCCATCCTTGCTTCTATGGAGCATTCTGGTTGTTGGTCTACCAACACAGACTTGTTTATTCTTTTGGACGTCCCTGGTACTTGCAATATTCTTCCTTAGTACCTTTATTCAAATGAATTGATTCTCTTTGGTTCCTCTTTATTCAATATCCATCTTTCACATGCATATGAAGCAATTGCCTTTTGATCTATGTACAAGTTCCTCATGAGCACAATGCAATATTCTGGGATTCCCATTCTTCTCAAGGTTATCTATAATTATTACGGTTCACACAGTCAAATGCATTGGCATAGTCAATAAAACACAAGTAAACAACTCTCTGGTATTGTCTGCTTTCAGCCAAGAGCCATCTGACATCAGCAATACTATCCTTTGTTCCACGTCCATGTCCAGTCTGAACCTTCGGGAGCACCCTGCAATGTACTACTGCAAATGTTATTGGATGATCTTCAGCAGAATTTTGCTTTCCTGGGATATTAATGATAGTGTTCTATAACTTGAGCTTTCTGTTGGGTCACTCTTCTTTGGAAGGGGTACAATTATGGTTCCCTTCAAGTCAGTTGACCAAGTAGCTGCCTTCCAAATTTCCTGGCATAGATGAATAAGTGCTTCTGGTGCTTGTTAAAACATATTTATTGATATTCCAGCTTTTCTTAGAGCTCTGTTTATTGGCCAATGATTTCAGTGTAGCTTGGAATTCTTCCTTCAATACCATTGGTTCTTGCTCAGAGGCTCCCTTTTGAAAAGGTGGAAAGCTGACTAGTTATTTTTGTAATAGTACAGTGACTTTGTGTATTCTTTTCCTCCTCTTTTGATGTTTCCTGAATCATTCAAGATTTGGCCCATAGAGTCTTCCAGTATTGCAATTGAAGGCCTGAACTTTTTCTTGAGATCTTTCAGTTTAAGATATATTGAGTGTGTTCTTAAGTTTTAATTTTCTATTGTAACTCAAAAGTCTTTGAACATGCCATTATTTATATTTTTATTTGTCTTCTCAAGCTGCCTTTTGAAATTTTGTGTTCAGTTCTTTGTATCATCCTTCCTTCATTTTCCTTAGTTAATTTCTGATAAGGTCGAGTTTTATAGTCTTTTCTGACATCTCTTTTGATATTTTCTTTCTTTTGAATGACTTTTTCTTTCTCTTGAAGGATTTCTTTGATGATCATCCACAGTTCATTAGGTTCTTTAGATGTTCTCAAAATTCAGGTGGGCTATATTCAGGGTCATATTTGGCCCTTATGGGATTGTTTGAATTTTCTTTATCTGCAACCTGAATTTGCATGTGAGCAATTGGTGATCTGCTCCACAATTAGCCTCTGGCCTGGTTTCTAGGTGTTCCCCCTCCCTGCCCCCCCACCCCCAAATGTAGTCAAATTGGTTTCTGTGAATCCCATCTGGAGAAGTTTATACTTATAGTCATTGTTGTGTTCTTCAAAAGGAATATTTTTGATGAACGATTCATTGATCTTTCTTAATTCTAACATGCAATCTCCAGCTTGGTTTCTATGACCAAGATGGTATTTTCCAACTCCCATTCCTTCTTCTCTGTTTCCAACTTTTGCATTCCTATCTTGATCAATTCCCTGAAAACATTGGTAAATTTTTAAAATTTCTGCATCATAAGCTTTAGCAGTTTGTGCATAAATTTAAATAATATTTGTACTGACTGTCTGTCTCTGTCATCCATTCACAGACAGTATTGTACTTCATGACAGATCTTGAGATGTCCTTTTTTACAACGAATTCAATGACATTCCTCTTGAATCTATCATTCCCAACATAATAAACCATATGATTTGGGATTCAAAATGTCCAGTACAAGTCCATTTCAGCTCACTAAGGATATCAATCTTTATGCGTTACATTTCATTTTCAACAACTTTCAATATTTTTAGATTTGTGCTTTGTACATTCCAAGTTCCAGGTTTGAATTGATGTTTGCAGCAGTGTCTTCCCACTTTGTGTTACGTCCCATGGGCCAGTGAAAAGTCCCCAGGGCTTTACTCCCACGTGATTTACTCCATTCGCAACACTGTGACCAAGTCTACTTTGAGAAAGCAGCTCCTCCTCAGTCAAAGTACGAGAGCCTTCCAGCCGGATGGGCTCCTCTTCTGGTACCATCTTGTGACAATATTCCGTGCTTACTTCTTCGACCTTCAGTTGCTTGACGATGTTGCTATGCTATCCTTCAGGTGGGCAGTGGTTAATTCCCGAGGAGTGGACAACCTCTTTCTACTTTGTCATCTGTTCTCAGTCTTGAAGCTCTGCTCTAACCTGTTCACTCTGGGGAACCCTTTGGATATTTGTACTACCAGTGCCATAGCTTCTGGCAACACAGAAACACACAAGCCACCACAGTTCAGCAAACTGGCAGAGAAGTGTTGAAACCCACCGATAGCTTGTATTATCTTCCCCATTTACCAAATAACTCCAGTCTACTGTCAGCCCTAATACTTCCCTTCCCCTTGGCCCCCTTAAAAACCTTCTTTTGCTTTGAATGCCTTTATCTTGATTTTTCTGCTGTAACATTGGTCAGTATTACTTTTTGTGGCAATATCAGAACTGTATGGAATATAATTTCCCAAATATTTCTTCAGTAGTATTTAATTAAGCTAATGAGAAGGTCAGTGGTTTGTATTCAGCAGCTGTTCTATGGGAGAGAATTGGGGCTGTCTACTCCTATAAACACTTAAAGTCTTGGCATCCCCAAAGGACACTTCTACTTTGTTC